ATCAATTCCTTATGAAATTCTGACCCTAAATGATGTGTCACATGATCCCCTTTCCATTTACAGTTTTGGAGTTGCATTCAATATGGCTGCCATCAAAGATGGCAACCATGCATGTAACACACATCAATCTGTTTCCCCCTTAGTCTAATGTGTTCCTGACATGAGCAAATTAACTTTGGGTATATTCTATATTCTGTAGCAGGGATGTTAAGTGACTTTCTTTCCCAGCCTATACAATAACATCATTTCTTTCTCAAGTAAAAGATTGTATATGTAAAACAAATATTGAAAAATAAAATAAGTAAAACACAACAAATTAAAGAAAATAAATTTTATTTAAACGTGCACAATAAAACAATATACAAAAATAACACAAATTTTTTAAAGTATATAAAACTAAAAACTTGTCTTATAACAGATCATAAAATGCAATGCAACAGGAGAAAGTGCAGAATGTCATATTTCATATTTACAAACCAAAGTCAAAACTTGGTAACAAAATTATAAAATAATTTTAGATAGATATATTTTATATTAAATTATTTGGAATTGCTGCATAATTATATTACATTAAAAATGTTACAAAAATTCTTAATTTATTTATATTTTTTAATACTTTATGTATTAATTTAAAATAAGGTATGTAATGAAGTAAGATTTGAATACATGTGAAATGTTATGATTAATTAAAAAATATTATATTATATTATATTTATACAGACAATCTGTTCTACTTTAATGAAAATTTAATGAAATGATTAAGTAGAAAATTTAATTAAAGTTTTTATTTACTTATAAAAATGCAAATATCAAGATCTCTACATTATTTGGATCCTATTGAATCTAATTTTATTTAAATTTTTCATATTTAATCATTTAAAGGTAGTCCTTGACTTTTGGACTTGTGTATAAAACTTAGATATATTTATAGACTAAATTTAGACTTAAATTAATCACATGTTTTTAGTTGAATGTATTTTATATCTTACAAATTTCAAAAACAGCATATGACTATCTTTTTTATAATAAATTTTCATAAACTCAAGAAAAAAATAGAATTGGTAATATGTAATGATTACCTAAATATCTGTAACTTAATAACAATCACTTATTTGCAGAATATTAAACTCTGCCAACAACATCAAAATTTATTGACTATTATAGTTTTAACATTTTAAATAATGTTTCATGCTTTGTAAAATATTAAAGTAGGAAAATTTAAGTTTTTATAATAGATTTTATAATATTTCTTATATGTCTCTAGGAATGGATCTCTATAAGATATAATTGTATTGTTTGTTTTTTTAATATTTGACTTTAGTACACATTTTTAGGAATGCAATATGTTCAAAAGTGGGGTCTCCATGTATGAGAATTTATATTTGTTTTAAAATGGAATATAATTACTCATTAAACTTAGAAACATTTTCTAAACTTGAAATGTTGTTGTTTTAAAACAAAAAAATTTTTTGAATTTGTAAAGTAAATAAAAAGATAAAACAAAGATCAGATATCCTGAGAAAATATAAAGCAATTTCTTTTTAGAGTGTCTAAACAACACTCTAAAAAAAGTGTCTTTCAGTATTAAAACTTTTAATAAACACAATATATTTAAGCAAGTACTTTCAATGGTGCATTACTGTCTTCATCAGGCAAAAGATTTTTGTCAAATTGAACATCAAACAAAAATTAAAAAAATTTTTTACATGCACAGATACTTAATGATCTTTTTAGTAAATGATTAAACAATAAGAAATGCAAAAAAAATTATTGTTCTCTCATTTAAAGCTTTGTTTGATGTTTCATTTCAACAAACATCTTTTGCCTAATCAAGGCATGCACTATTGAAATTACTTGTTTAAATATATAATGTTCATTTGGCATTAAAACTTTTAATAAATTGTTTGAGTGTTATTTAACCAATTTGGTGTCAAGTGTAAGTTTCAAAGTTTAGATTGTCTTCTGATGTGACCAGACTTATTTGAATACCTTGGTTATGCAATGTCATATTGCTTTACTATTTTCATATCTATAGCTTAATAAAAGTATATGATGATGAGATAGTTTATATAACTGATATTAAAAAAGAAATGAATAATTCAAAAACAAAATAACTTTCATATTATCTGTGATTGTACAGTAGTTGATTTTTTATTTAACATGGGAAAAAATTAATCTTTGATTTTGAAAATATAAGTATATAATAATTAATCATATTGAGTAGCAAATGAATTAAAGTTATAATGCAATTGATATAATAAAGAACTAGACTATCATAGTATGTGTCAAGCATGTATCAGTTATCAGCCAATGTGAAAAAAAGTATTAAACTATTTGATACCATTCTACATTAAGTAGTTGAAACTGATAAAAGAAACCAAATTTGAACATTTCAGTAATCTTACATCCAATCCAGCAGGGTAACAACATATCAGTTCAAATGTTTTTGGCCTACACCAAAGACCTTTCTCAGGAACAACCAAGTACTAAAATAAAATGCTAATCGACATCTCGGCAGCCTTTAATCAGGCGAAGATAGTCTGCACTACGTCACACATCGAACACCTGAAGTGGCTAGAAGCCATTCACATTAACGACTCATGCATCAATTTTAAAGATGAGTTATTTTTGTCTGTAGCCTGGCAGGCGTTGATGGACTCTGGACTTTAATTGTTAAGATCTGGTTACCCTATGATTACGCATGCATGACTCATATTACACTTTTGAATATTTTTTCTCATATACTGTTAACCGATTGCTCCATCCTATCAGAAACTCCCTTTTTCACCTGAGGAAGAACTCACAGCAGTTCAAAAATGTTTGTGGTGAACTTTTTTCTTTTGTTTTTTTTTCATCACACAAGAAATAGGTTCTAGAAGTACGATTTTTTAACACATCCTGGTGTTAATGTCGTTGTTGATTTCAAATATTTTTCAATATGATACTAGATGAAATCTTAACTTATGAGTCAGAAAGAGAGAATCATTAAAATGACAATATACAATATCACCAAGGGAAGAAAGTATAAAACCCAATGTTGTGTAAAAATTTCCTAGCCTGGTAGAATATTACAGTCAAGTCCACTTAAGAGAGCACCTTAAGAATCACTGCAGTATGCTCCTTTATCCAAAGTAAGTAATATTCTTAATGAATATTTTTTATTGCAATTTGAAAAAACTGTAGATTTGTAAATTCCCATTATTGTTCGTCTGTCTATCTGTCTATCCTTCCTTAATCATGAGAACAAAGTTAGACAAATGAAAATTGAGATCAGATATGGAAAGCTTAGGGACAAAAATCCCTAAGCTTTACTTATACTTATGTACTGTACTATATACGAACTTTTACACAAACATTCAGTTTGCACCTAAAGTCACGTTATTTCAATTCCAAGATTTTCCCCTAAACAGAATTCGATAGATGACCGGCATAACTCGAAAAACATAATGTACAGAGGCAAGACACTGCAAAAATTGAGAGCATTGTGAGAAAAATTGCATTGTGACGATGTCACAATAAATAATTGCTCGTTATGAATAAAATGTTTTCATATTTTTATTTGGATTACGTAAAACTTGATTAGACATTCCTCCATTCAACGCAAAGTTTATCAAGTTATTTAAAGAGTCATTATCGAGAATGCATTTCAGGTTTCTGGCCCTTCTTCAGCTCTAGACTATTTCATGAGCAAATTCAAAAGGAAATTATAAATATTTTTAAAAAGTTTTTCATAAATAATGTAAAATTATATAATTACTTAAAAACTACGTTGATATTAATGAATTATGTAAAATTGGAATACAATAAATAATATATTTATATTTTGCAGATGAAGAGGGGTCAGAAACTCGAAATGCATTTTGCATAATGACTATTTAAAGAACTTAATTGGTTCATCTCTGTATGATAACTCCTTCATTTATCAAATAATATGATTTAAAAAATACAATAAATATTTCCTTATTAGTTTCAAAATATCCTTCGCTTCTGTATAATCTTACATATTAACTTTGGGTTTAATGATATATTTTTCGATATAAATTTTAAATTTAAGCTATTATTATTATTCTAGCACATATTATTAGTTGTGTTCAGATACTTACCTCTGAATTCTGTAAATATATTCCCTCTTATTTCATAATAAAATGCAATTTATAGAAATATCCTGAGCTAACATGCTCAGTGTATTTAATTTAACTGAAAGAAACATTTTCTAATGGTTGTTCTCCTCCTATTTTCATTTGTAATTGTTAATTTTTCTATTCTTATTCTATTGTTTCTTCCTAAGACTGTTTTGTTAATTTGAATTTAAAATATCAACAAAAATCTGTGCATATGACAAGAAAAATAAGATACTTTTCTATTTAATTTATTACTTTATTGCAATTTTTCTATTTGATTTTTTGTGTATAAATCAAATTTATGTTACAGTATATTTCGTAAATTCTCGAAATTTTCCTTCTTTTCGTCCAAATATCTCTTGTGGAGTAGTTGATAAATAGATAAACGTCGATTTTTCAAAATTATCATATATTCTTGCTGTTTGGTTGTGATAAAATATTTTATTATATGTCAAGAATTCATGAATTCTTGACTTTTCTTTGGGCATGTAATATTTTCTTATAGAAAATGCCCAATTTTACTTGATTTAATTATAATTTATATTTATCGTGTTTTCATCAAACATTTCATCGCTTTCTAGTTCTTTCACATCTACTTATTATATAAATCCAAATATCTTAAAGATTCTACTTAAGTATAAACTATGAAATGGATTGATATTGTCTTCAGAATCAATTTTCGTGTATAAAGTTTTATCTATTTCAGTTTCCGGAATATTTTATGGTGTAATAACAATCTTAAATCTTTTATTTTTGCAGTTTGTAATGTTGTCATGATCAAATTTTAACTATTANATATATTTATATTTTTTAAAAGAAACAATGCATTTTTGAAATGCGTTAAACATACAACATCTATTTTTATTCAAATACTGTTACCTGCTGGACTAATGCCCTTGATTCTGGCGTAATGGTATTTTGAAAAAGTGCATGAAATTCTCTTGGACTATTAAGATGAAACTCATTTGAACTATCAAGAAATTCTTCTACTTCTTGTAATGCAATTTCTGCTGCAGATGATGATGAATATTTCTCTATTTGTTGGCTTGCTAATAAATCAACACCTTTTCCACACCATTTATTAGCCTGGTAAATTATTAAAAGATCATTTATTTTCAAATTTAAATATATCTTTTAAAAGTTTTTAGAGCATGTTCTAATTTTAAGCATATAAGAAATCCTGCTTAAAATAATAAATCAAGTTTCTAAATTTTAAGTTGTTTTGAGTTGTACTGTACATGATATAATGTTTTATTATTCAAGAAAAAAATAAAATACAGTGGTCCCCCGATGTAACGCGCATGTCGGGCAGGAAACAACACCCGCATTATACCAAGCAGTGCTGTGGCAGCAAAATAATTTACTCAGAATGATTTGAGCTATATACTGTATATACTACATACTATATATCCCACCAACTACATACATATTATGTATTTTAATTTAATAAATAAATTGGTTATTTTATGTTTTATTAAAATTCACATAACATAGTTATACATCTTAATAAGTACATACTGTACTGTATATGTATTATTTTATTTATGTACATAAGGTATGCTTGAAAATACAGTACTGTATGTAAAAACAAACACTATCTATAACTTGACTAAAATCTATGTATTCAATATCATTTCAATTACAAAACATCACTTAAAAAAGTGAGTAATTTTTGTTTGTTTGCTTTTTGGTAACTTCTGTATCATTTCCCTTTTGAAAGATGCTAATATCAACAATCTGACACTGTAAATATTTTCTTGTGATTCAGCCCATTTTATAAGTTTCCATGGCTGTTATTGCCTCTTTGGTTGTTGGCTGTATATCAGCTATCTCACTGGCACTTTCTTCATCATCTTCTGTTTCTTCGTGACAACCTTTGTCACTGCAAATGGATTCGATAATAATTTCATCAGTCATATTCTGACAAATATTTTCTCTAGCATCAACAACTAACCAATCAGTCAAAGAATCATTAGTTATTTCTGGCTCATTCAATATTTCCTGGATACAAGAAATTTCAGCCTCAGTGAAGATATTATCTGAAGCTGAATCTGAATATGTTGTGGTTTGGTCAAGATCAACTTGATTATTAGATTCATTTAATTTTTTCCAACAGTTTCTAATTGTCTCTGATGTGATTGCCTGCCAGGCAAGTCCAATACTGTAGGACTCATCTTTGAAATCCATTTATTTTTTAAAATATATTGACATTAATGTCTGATGCTAATAATGAATTCATCATTTCTCTTTGGTAATTTGTTTTGAAAGCATTAATAATGCCTTGATCTAAGGGTTGTATAAGAGCAGTAGTATTTTTTGGAAGATACATTACTTTTATTTTACCATCATCAGACACAAAGTTATCAACCGGTGGATGAACTTGGCAATTATCTAAGAGAAGCAAAGCTTTCGGATCTAGACTCAATCCTCTCAGAAATTTTCGCACAGAGGGAACAAAGGAATTGTGAAACCAGTCATGAAATATGTTAGAAGTCATCCAAGTTTTTATGCTGTTTTTATAAACAACTGGCAGAGATTTTATATTGATTGACTTGAAACATCATGGGTTTTGACTTTTACCTATAATGAGTGACATCAACTTGTGATTACCAGCTTTGTTTACACAAAATAAAGTTGTGATAATCTGGAGGTATTCTTAAGTAGATTTATATAAATTTTTACCTCAACATCTTAAAAAAATAATAATTTAATTTAACTACAATTTAAAAGGGAAATTTGATAAAATTTAGAATAAAGTTAATATAACCAAAAAAGGTTATAAAAACTTTAACATCCTGAAAAACTGCTCTATTACGCTACATTTTACAAGAACCAAGGATGTTTTGCTTCCTTCCTCCACACCTCATATCTTAGAATTTTTACACCACCTGTGCAGATGACACAACATTTTTGGGAAAAAGATGAGGTCATAATCAGGAATAAAAGGGCAAGTTTTTATACACTCGGGGCAGTCTACGACAGGAGTAGTTGCCATAGAGAGGCAGTTCATCCCAGATAGAACATGCCATAGAGCCAGCCCACTGGGACGTCCAGCCTCCAGCTTCAAGCCCATATAGACATCCCCTCCAGTAAGGTAATATGATTTATTGTGAACTCTCTCTCTCGGTAGAAAGGATAGATCCTAATCTCGCGATAGAATATAAGTCATGTATTTTTCATATTTTACATCTGTATTTTTATTATTTACTAGTATTATTGTTAATTCTGATTAAATTATCGACTTCTATATAAGAAGGACCTTCCTAGTCTTAGATTAGACTTATGTTTTATGTTTTGTTGTTATATTATTTGTCCTTGTTATTTTGGTCTTCTGTGATTAAATTGTTGATTTTTATATTCTTGACTTTCGTAGTCGAGTATTTATTCCTATGCACAACCCACACAGAATCTTACCACTCGGGTTCTGAAAAAATTAGGCCATCCAGTGACAAGGTGAGCAGGTCTAACAGATCTGACGATTAGAGGGCCTGGACCCTCGTCTGTATTCTCACAAAGTTGTTATCCTTTCCTTGCTTAGTTTTAATCCTGCCTTTTGTGGGTTACTTTTTAGATCTAAGGTTTTACTTGGCAACATTCTGTAATATAATGCAGTCTCATCACAGTTATAAACTTGTGCATGAGTATACCCTTCTTTCATAATGGAAATTGTGAACTGTTTGAAAAATTCTGCAGTGCCTTCAATATCATTAGACTTTGCTTCACCAGAAATGGAAATTTTGAAGATGCCATGTCGTTTTTGCCAGCACCACAACCAACCATCAGAAAGCCTTAAAATCTTCTTCTGCTTTTAAGCTTACATGGAATTTTTCAGCCTGCAACTTTAAAGCAGTTCCAGATATGGGAATACCTTCACTTCTTTTTTGCACAAACCATGCACAGAGGCAATCGTCAACATTTTGATTTTTTCCAAGTCCTGTCTTTTTTCGAGTAAGCCCAACATCTTGATCAAGCTTATCAACAAATGATTTCAGTTTTGTCTCCTCTGTCATTCAACCCCTTACAGTTCCTTTAGGTATGCCATATTCTCTTCTTATGTTTGCTTTCGAAAATCCGCTCTTTACTTTAGCAATAATGTCAAGCTTTTCTTTTACTCATCATGCATACAATAATTAAACACTATTCAAAATACATGCAGGAACTCAATACATACACAATTACTCAATATGCAGTAACAATAAAATGTGCTACTCACTAACGTTGCATGGACCTGTATAAACGTGCTTGAGCTTATTGCATTGTAAACATCGCCCATGCTATAACCGAGTGCGTGGTATAGCGAGCAGCGCTATAACAAAGGTCCACTGTACAGTACAATATATATTTCAGTTTTTCAAACTGACAAATTCAAGTTTTAAAAGGATTTATATATTTTGTAAAAATTTCTAACTCATACACAGAATTAGTAAAATTTATATATATTTATATATAAATNGTACATTTTGATTATTAATTATTAATTAAAAATTGATATTATTAAATATGGTAAATTAATTACCTTTTCAATTCTTTTTTGAAGATCTTTATGTTTTTGAAGGACTTCAAATTGTCGAGATACTTTCTGACGAATGTTGCAGACCATCCTTTCTAATTCTACACATTTTGGAGCAATTGAATCAACAGCATAATGATTAGCAATTATTAATTCCTTTCCCATTTTCTGAAGACTTTCAGCCTTTTCTAATTCCTCCTAGAAATTTTTTTTAATTGATTATATAAATATATATTTTGTAATGCAAGAATAGTATTGTTTTTATTAATTCATTCATTATATTTAAAATTAGATTTATTGTTTAAACATTTGATAATGCAATGTTTGTTTAACTTTTTTTAAATTTAATACCTCAGTTTGAAGTTGAAATATTTCTAAATCAGCTAAAATACTCTCCACTTGTGCAACTGTTTCTCCAGTTTCTGGCATATCACATAATTCTCTCATACTACTAGCAAGAGCCACTTGAAGCTAATTTATAATTTAAAACAAATATTTATAAAATATATTTTAAAAAGTTTAATTTTATACTCTAAAAAGATAAATGATAAAGAATTATCAGTTTATTATATTAATAATTAATACAATAATTAAGAATAAGAATTATGACATTAAATATATGGGAAAAGTTTTAAAGTGATATTTACCATAACTATAATTTTAGAAAATATAAATATTCATCATATCAACACATATTAAAATAAAAGATCTAAAGTCTATTCTAATTTTGAAAACCTGTTATTTCATTAAAATTATTTATATGGAATATAACAAATATTACAATGTTTATTGAATGAATACTCTTTTCTCTATAATTTAAAACATTAAATAAGAAAGTATTAATGTATCTCAAATATTTTATATGGCTAAGTGAAAGCAACTAACTAAAAAAATAAATAATAAATTGATTACACATCAAAGAATTTGTAACTAAAGTAAAACTACTTTACTAAAGATAAACAACTAACCTACAGTCAAAGAAATACATATATCAAAAAGTGTTTTCAAGTTTATAGCTAATCATCAAGCTGAACAACACGCTTTCAAAATTTCAAATGTTATGAATATAGAGTTATTGTTAGGTAATAGCCAGTCTGCTATAGATTAAATGATGTTTTACACATTTAATTTATAAAATCACCCTTTTTTTATTTATTTAATTAACTTTTCTTTTGTATCTTTACTTTAAATCATGGAAATAATTTAAATAAAGATTTAGGGTTTTTTCCATTGATTATGCTGTTATGTAGATAGCTGAAGATATCCATATTTATTGCAATCTTAATATTATTGTATGGATGCAGTCTTTATAAATGCTTGACAACAAAGTTCCCTCTAATCTTCAGGTGCATGGCTGCACAGTAACTGAATTGCTGCTGAGAACGACCAGCACTTATACCCTGAGTAAACAACTCTGCCTTGGGCTATAAGTAGGACACTCTCATAAATTGGAAACTGCCTGAGATTCTCATCTCGTACTCTTCTACAAGAGTACGAGATGATTTTAAGACTAAGATAATTTTTTTTATGTTGTAATAAATCAGGATGAATTTATGTAACTGTAGAGTCTGTCTCTGTGCCAATCATTCCCACTTACAAACAGGAACTACTCTGTCATTCTGATGTTACGTGTGGATACACTTCTACCCCCACCATGATCCGACTTAATTAACCATCCCCAACAATGACACTTCATCCATTCAAAGTGTTGCCATCTGTCCAGTTTTTGCATCGTGTGTCTGGGCAAAGACCAAAAATGTCTGGATTTTAAGAAAATTTAGCAAATCATCAATAATTAATTATTTTTTAATGCTATAGCTAATTTTATAACCAACAAACAGAAACAGTCTGATAATTTAATTAGTAAGTCATTTATAATAACATTCCAGAGTTTCTAATAACATTCCAGATACTGAGCCTTGAGGATAGTCTTTATTTAAGGAGCAGATTTTTTTAACAAAGCTCAGCTGTTCTGTTTTTTAAGAAATCCTTGAGCAAGTAGAAAATATTCTGTGGTACTTTGGTATCTCTGATAAGTTTTAAAATTGAGGGCCACCATGCATTGTCAAATGCACTTTTGATATCTAGAAATATTAACAGAGACATCAATCTCTTCTTTCCTTGCGGTACAGTACATCTGAGTATCTTGTATTATGCAATTTAACAAGGGGAATGTTGGGATATGAAACCTCAAAAACATTCATGAGGTGAAACCTTCTTTAAATAAAACAAAATGTATGGGAAATGGCAATTCATGGTACAACTACTATTTGATGGAATACATTATGATAACCTGGAGTATGTCTGTAATTTTTAAATTTTGAAATCAACATTTAATAGTATTCCCACAGTTAAACTAAGAAACTTCCATTCTGTAAATATATTTTAAAATGAAATACCTCTTTAAATTCATGTTCAAATTTTCTAAGTTCAAGGCACTGACTAAGTTTCCTTTCATGTTCAGTCCAGAATAAATCAAAATCTTTTTCTACATCTTCTAATTGATCCAATAGCCTGGAATAAAAAATATAATAAAAAATTATTATTTACACTTTTCCTCTAGACATTGTTATTAGGAATGAGAATTATTTGTTGTTTTTGGAGAGAGAATAATGGTTTGTTTTAAATAAATATTAACTTCAGTTCATAATTTTAAGTCTCCAGGATATTAGAAGCTTGTTTGGATTATCATTTTAATGATTGGCTATTCTATCCAATTTTCACTAGATTTAGCCAAACATCTAGGATAAATCTAGATGGATAGAATAGCCAGACACCAAAATGATAATGAATTCTATTAGATATGAAGCAAACAATAGTAACTTATCTGAATTATTTTAAATTATTAATTATTAATTAAAAATTGATATTATTAAATATGGTAAATTAATTACCTTTTCAATTCTTTTTTGAAGATCTTTATGTTTTTGAAGGACTTCAAATTGTCGAGATACTTTCTGACGAATGTTGCAGACCATCCTTTCTAATTCTACACATTTTGGAGCAATTGAATCAACAGCATAATGATTAGCAATTATTAATTCCTTTCCCATTTTCTGAAGACTTTCAGCCTTTTCTAATTCCTCCTAGAAATTTTTTTTAATTGATTATATAAATATATATTTTGTAATGCAAGAATAGTATTGTTTTTATTAATTCATTCATTATANTTAACTTCAGTTCATAATTTTAAGTCTCCAGGATATTAGAAGCTTGTTTGGATTATCATTTTAATGATTGGCTATTCTATCCAATTTTCACTAGATTTAGCCAAACATCTAGGATAAATCTAGATGGATAGAATAGCCAGACACCAAAATGATAATGAATTCTATTAGATATGAAGCAAACAATAGTAACTTATCTGAATTATTTTAAGACTATATCTAATTCTAACATTCAATCTATCAGAATTATATTAATAATTTTGATTATTTTAGACATTTCCTTTATCTTTACAATGTAAAATTAAAGAACAGATTATCTGAAAAATAAATATTAAGGAAAAAAAGCATGTATAATCAGAATACAGAAATGTAAAATCCAAAGTATTATTTGCAATAGCTAAATTTTGAATAAGTTTTACTTCTCAGACAAGAAAAGATATATATAAAAAAGTAGTTTTATTAGATAAGTCTATGTTAATGGCATTGTTCAAATGGAACGATAATATTATTCTGTTCTTTTGAAGAGCAAATATAATAAATTAAATTCAATCTCAATATTTTAACTGCATTCCCATAATTGTATTTTAATCATATTGTAAATAATGCAGAAAATAAAAGATCTCTGTTTTTTGAAAATCCCACAAGTTTTAGTGTTATCACTGGGATTTCTAATATTGAAAGGTTTTCAACCAGTCCAGGTATTAATAAAGAGTAAAAACTCTGAAAATAATGACTTACAATGTTGGTAACCTTACAATTAGTGATTTTCCTCAGCCTAAAACCATCACTGTTTTTCAGCCATGCTCAATTTTTATAGCTGCTTTCTGCCAAACACTGCATAGACACAGGCCCCACTACTCAAGTTCCTTAGAGATTCTAGGAAAAATGATAAATGCATCATTTCCAGAAATGAACCTGCTCTAGTCTGCTGAAGTCCTTCAAAGAACGTAAGACAGATCTCTCAAATGCAACAACCCTAGCATACTATTCATCAAATGGCAGGCTCTCCACAATGGTTGACACATCTGACGTCACCATTGGCACTATACTCCAAACCCACACTGCTGAGGGACCTCACCCACTAGCCATTTTTTTTTCACAGAAGCTAACTCCTACCGAAATAAAATAGAATACCTACAACAGGGAGCTGCTTGCTATAGACTCTGCAATCAAAACAATCAAACACTTCTGCCATACTGTCGAGAATCAAGACTTCATCTTCTTTATGGACCATCATCTACTCACCTTCATGTTTCACCAAAAACTGGAAGCTTGCTCCCCAGACCAACTATGGCTCCTTGACTTCATTGCACAGTTCAGCATAGATATCAGATACATTACTGGTTCAAATAACATTGTAGCGGACACACTTTCTTGGATCAATGAGATTCAACTTCCCATGACAAACTTTACTGCCATAGCAGAAGCACAAGCTAATGATGATGAGCTAATTGCGCTCCTCACAAACAACAAAACATCACTCATACTACAGCCACTTTGAATCAGCTTGTCACTACATCTATATTGTGACACAAAGGATAATGGATTTGCCCATACTTACCCCTCCAATTTTGCCATCAAATCTTCTCTTCCATACACAATTTGACCCACCCAGAAATGAGACACCTAATTCAAGAACATTTTGTATGGCCTTCAATGCAGAAGGACATCACTAACTGGACCCATTCCTGCATAAGCTGTCAATGCTCCAAGGTGAACCAGCATACTTAGCCCTCTTCAGAAATTTGACCTTCCATCCCATTGATTTGCATGTGTGCATCTTATCAGACCACTTCCTCCATCAGATGGATCTACCTACCTACTCAACTGCATAGACAGATTCACGAGGTGGCCCGAAGTTGTTTCCCTTCACAGCATTGCTACCGAAACAGTTGCTTGCACCATCATCTCTCATTGAATCTCCAGATTTGGCATACCTCTATCTGATCAAGGCCGACAATTCCAATCGCACCTGTCCCTGACAGCTATGCTGGACATCCAGCAAATATGTATGACACCATACCACACCAATGGAAATGTTCAACTAAGCCATTGTCTGATGGCTAATGGTTTAGTTGAACATTTCCATTGTTCCCTAAAACAAGCTCTCAAATGTCATGAACAGCACGATGAAATCCCTCCCAATTATTCTTCTTAGCCTTCAATTCACATCAACAGAACTTGTACTGAGATGGTATACAGCACAAACCTTTGTCTCCTGGCAGAGTTCTTTCATCTTTCATGGGAATCATCAATGGGCCCTTCATCCTTTCTCCACTCCCTACAATCCACAATTCAGTCTCTTATGCCAACTCTAACCTGTGCACACTAGGGTTTCTCTAACATGATCCCAGTAATCCCGGTTGTTTTTTTAACCCGGGAAATCCTGCAAATTTCTTAAAAGATCATTTTTGCTTATTTTATATTAAAGTTGAGGAAATTTCACAAATACAAAGTATAATTAACTCAAACTGTCAGAACGCATTTGTATTTATTACTTTTAAGCTCGCTTATTAGTTTTTTAAATTTTCGCTTGTTATGGGCATGTCACAGATTGTCAATAATCAATATTTAGCCTATTTGTGGCAGAACTCTGAAAATTCTTTACTCGTCAGAACCGATAATATCTTGAATAATTGTGCTGGTGCTGTCTTAATTTTTAACCATCATGTCCAGTAGATTAATAACTGCATTATGCCAGATTGTGCAAATTGGGCAAGGATACAAACAAATATGAAGTTTTTTCATAAACCTGATTATTAAAGCCAAATGAAGTGCCAAATTATTAGGCCATAAGCTTGATATTACTATTAAAGTAGCTGAGGTAGACAAATCAAGAATACCAGACAGCAATTTTTCTATTTCTGAAAATTTCTACGTAATTGACGAGACTCTGTCTTGCTTATAAAATTGTGCTACTGTCAATGGCTAGACAGGTTACAGGTATGAAGGAGTACATGTCAGGAGTTGCAATTTGGCAGAGTATTTCGTGCCCAAATCATGCACACATAAAAAAGCAGACTTATAGGTACTCAGGGGACCAAGAACTAAGTCAAAATAAAATACAAAATGGTGACACTCTTTCTACAAACAGGCGCTAGTGTGAGATTTGCAGATGCGTTGCTCAGGAAGTTGGAAGTATGAATGTTGCAAAATCAAATTTTAACAAACAAATCTTTGAAAAAACTCATTTATCTGTCCCATGTTATTCCAGACATATCTCTGGTTGCGACCTGCTGACCTTGACCGGTTGACCTGAGATATCTCATTTTAGCATTGAAACATTTTTGAAACTAGATGGTGCTAGTCATTATAATTTTATATTAAAACTAACTTGCAAAATATAATTTTTTTTTGTTTTTACATTTATTAATATATTTATTTTGTTTGTGCAAAATAAAAAAATAATTTCAGATGATACAATAACCATGATTATTTTTTTCAAAAACGGAAAATTTTCATTAAGCATTGACAAAAATTCAATCTGGAATGAAACACAACAGAGAGAAATTTCGACATTGGATAGGTTAATTTAACTGAAAATGCATCTTGGATGACCTCGTGGAAATAGCCGTGGCTGAGGCCAGTGAAGTTTGAACATCGCACTCAAAACCAGTGATACCAAAGAAGATTGGAGAATGAGAACGAGACCCACCGTAAGTGTCAAAATCATCCCACTTAATAGTGAGTCTCCGAGACAGTCTCATCCCAAAAATGGCCTTGCCGTTTTACTTGTTTAAAAGTAATTTTTAATACATATTTTACACAGCATTATTAATATTATTATTTTGGAAATTGCAGGACATATTAAATTACTTAAAAAATGAAAAATAATTATATCATTCAATTTAAAATTTATTTTATATCTTAAAAATAATTAATTATATCCTGTGATTCTGGGAAACAGATTGCTTTTTTCTTGAAATCCCAGGACAAGCAAAGGACTGGGAAACGAGAAACCCTAGTGCACACCTTGTTCACCCGGAACTTGACACCTGCTCACATGTTTTCATATGAATAGAAGGACAATAGATCTTCTCTAAGCCTCCCTTATGACATCCCCTTCTAGTTACCATTCAGACACATATGCATTTCACTATCCTTGCCTATGAAAAATGATGTCAGTTAACATCAACCAACTGAAACTGGCATTTCTGAACAGCAAAAACGACAGCACACCATCAAACTCAGTGAGTGAGCCTGCACCTACCAATAAGATGACGACACAATTGGGAAGGAGGGTCAAAACTCCCTATACCTCTAGCTTCATACCTACTGTACTGGGGGTGGGGAGTACTGTAGTGATGTTGCTGGCCATAAATCCAAAAGTTGCCACTAGAGGAACTCCAAAAACTCAATGGACCCGGCAACACTGATTTAAAACCTTCTTCTAGGTTCAGACCTTGTAATGTCTACACACATTTGATATTGTGTCCATTCGATATTATTGCACCTCATCATATATAACCCTAAGGAATAATAAAAGATTAAGAGTTATTAACTCTTTTCTGTGGCCTAGTATTGTACCCTAAGATAATTCATCATTTCTTCCATATGGAACTTAATAATTAGTTACAAGCTGATGCTACAGTACTGAACCTATAACTTGACTAACTCTCTCTCTCAGGTTGATAAAATAGTAACTGAAATTTTTATAGTAACCAAAATTAATATGACTTAATGTAAAAAACGTATCATAATAAATGAATCTTTTTTTTTTGGTTAAACTTTTGAGCATAATTTCTCTTCATCTGAAGTCATTTGGGACAAGATCACTTGACAACCAAATGGCAAATGAACTGAAATCTCCATATTGAGCATAAATGTGAACATAATGATAAGCAATGTTAAAATCGATTACGTAATTTGTGTGTATATATCTCATACAATAAAATCTAATGAGTCTATGTGCATTTATTTGAAGATTAATTGTTGTTTGAAAGTTTCAGAAGATTGAAAGTAAAGCATAAATTGAATGTAATGTATTCTGAAACCATCAAATTTTTCTTTAAAGAATATCAAAAATAAAAGAAATTCCAATTTCAGAACATCAAAATCAAGAATTTTTTCTAAAATTAATATATATTTATAGTAGGAAAAACAAAAATATCAATTCAATATAAACAGATAGCAAAAACATACTAATGTAAATCCAATGTTTTGCACAGATAATATGATGTAACATATTTCTGTTCATAATAAAATGTAAAATTTAATAATGACTAATAAAATGATTTAGCAAATTAGAAGAATAAGATATCCACTCAGCAGTGAGGAACATATATATACGTCCAGGGCGATCGTATGGCAGTGGTGAGGGACGTATATATACATCAAATTCTTTTGGGGGTATTGCCAAAAACTACCGCAAAAAAAACATTTACATAAAAAATGAATTATGTAACGGTAAAAAAAAAGACTTTTCTATACTAGACATAACTGTTTACAAAATATTTTTCCAAAACAGTAATGAAAAAAAACACGTGGAAAAATATTCTAAAAATTTCATACATTTATTCTCCACTACTAAGGGGTAGCACCATACCTGACTATTCCACTGTTAAAAGGATGTTTATTATAGTTATAAAAAAGTCACAATTAGAAAAGGTCAAAATGACCATCTCATGACTAATTACATTCCATTGTTGAGCATAGCCTCATAGAAATTAAATTTATGTTACAAGTGTTGAATTTTATAAGAAATAATGAAAATTATCAGAATCCAATTTTTATAACAATTCTATAAATAGGCTATTTTAAATTTTGATAAACAATGTTTCAGTATTTTATGAAAGTTTTGAGTAACATCAAAAAATTTTAAACTTGTAAAAATTAAAATTTGTATGTTAACTATTATTAATTAAAAAATGAATTATTTTAAAAGTTTTTTTTATGCAGTACATATAGTATATCACATTTCATAATATAATTATGTTTAAGCTATTAACAGTTAATATTTATTTTTTTATTCAAAGAGTAATTATTTACCTTTCTACTGCTGATACATTAATTAATCGATCTGGATAACGATCCAATACCAAGTAATTGTCAAGGGAAGGTCTACGAATGCAATTTAACAGACTTTCTCCATGTTTTGAAGCATTACGAATATCATCTTTTAATTCTCTGTATTCTCCACATTGATTTTCTAGCAGAGCCATTGTTGAACCCACATCATTAGGTAATTCTGTTTCCCTTAAACTTCTTTTCATTTCTTTTAGTGCAAGAGAAATTTCTTGAAGGTTACTTGAAAATTTTTCTACTGCCTGTAAAAATCATGAATATAGCATTGTATCATTTTCAATATTTATAAAATTGTATAAATTAAAATGTATATAATTTTATATAATTTTTAAACGTCAATAGTATTATAAAGACATTTGCCACAGCAAAAATTGGTTTGGAATAAAAGTACACACATCAAATACAAAACACAACAAAAAAAACCAATAAAAGGAATAAAAACATTTACTTATACAAATGTTTTTGTCCATTTGTAATAAACATCATCAGGTATTCTGTAAGGAAAACAGATCAAAGAATTGAATACATTTAAATACAAAAATTCAAAGTAGTTCAAGACATGCACAATGTTACAATGTTACCAAGGTAAATTAAAAATTGTAAATTTAAAATTAAAATTTCCCACATGCAGGTGTATAGTAATAAAAATACAGAATGGAAGTCCTAGGAGTGTTCTAAACAAGCCCTCCATGCTGTAGAAAGTATATCCGTCTCTATAAAGTTGACCACCTTCCAGTTTCTAATATCTTGTAAATTTCAAGTGCTTTTAAATATTTCAAATGTGTGGATCCAACATCTGATTTGATGAGTGGGTCTATTACATTGGATGTCAGATCATGCATAATTGAAATATTTAGAAGTTCTTGAAATTTACAAGGCTGTTAGAAGACAGTCAACTTTAGAGGGATGGATACACTTTCCATGGCATGGAGGGTGTTTTGAATTCTCCTAAGACTTCCATTCTGTGTTTTTAATACTGAACACCTACACATAGGCAATTTACTTTTACAATTTTTAATTTTTACAATTTAAATCTACAATTTTTAATTTATCTTGGTAATACCATACCACTGTACATGTACAAGCTTCAAACTATTTTGAATCTTTGTATTTAAATGGATGACCAAATAGTTAAAGCATCTATCTACTGCTCTGGGGAGATAGAAATGCATCCAGGCAAACCAGCCCAGTAATTTTTCATAAACAGTCTGTTCTGGATAGACTCCATCCCTTACCACCAGTTATTTCTTGACTGAACCCATAATGGGCATGATTAAAAAAGTCTCTTAGTACCCACAGAATAAAGAGCCAAAAAATAGAAAAAACAAACAAATGCAAATGTAGAATTGTCGTCTTTTCTTTTTTATCATCAATAACATTTGACAAAATGTTTGAAAAATTAATTATATTTATAAAAATTCATATTTATTTCTAATATAATATTTAATAAAATAAATTTTTTCCATATTCATTGAATGTAATATTTATGCTGACAAAATATACATCATATTTAGTAAAAAAATTATACAATACTTGAAAATCTTAAATTTCAACTAATTATACAGAAATAAATATTTTAAAGATTTAACACAAAGATATTATTTAATATATGAATTTTACATTAAATTAAATTAAAATTTAAAAAATTACCAGTCTTTGTTCTATCCAATCTTCATGGTTATATGGAATTGTTCCTCCAAGATCCTCTGTTAATAAAGTTGGGTTGATGTGTTCATGAAGTTCTTCTAGACAACTACATATGACCAGCTAAAAATTTTAAAAAATTATTATTATTATTATTATTAAAGAATGAAATTTTGAAATTATTAGAATACAAATTAAAATATTTACTAAATCTTTACACAGCTGGTTATATAGTAAATAACATCAACAAACCTTTATAATTAAACCAGCAAATAAAGTTTTTATTATATTTTGACAAGCGCTTTCGATCCTGATTGGGATCTGCTTCAGGTCAAATGTTCTATACACAAAAATTTATAATTGCTCTTTAAGCATTCCAAATTTTTGTGTATAGAACATTTGACCTGAAGCAGATCCCAATCAGGATCGAAAGTGCTTGTCAAAATATAATAAAAACTTTATTTGCTGGTTTAATTATAAAGGTTTATTGATGTTATAAAATATTTACTATTAAAATAAATTATTAAATCAACATTTTATGTTTTTTATTTTCCAATTAGTTCATTCATTCATTCATTCATATGGTGTATCCTCTTTACAGAGGGTTGCAGTTGATGAACAGTTGTTCTTCTCCACTCTTCAAAGTTGTAGACTTTTCCCAAGCTTGAGCCAGTCCATTTTTTTGATGTTGTCTTGCCATGTTAACCTAGGTCTTCCTTTTCTCCATCTGCCTCCACTATTCCTTGAACTGCAATTTTCCAATAATAAGAAGATCCTCAGAGAAACTGATGACAATTCCCCTGAGGATCCTCTTATTATATGCCCAGCATATGCTATTTTTCTTCTCTGGATGCTGACCATCAGATTATGAGTAGATTTTCCATTCCAAATCTACTCATAACCTCCTCATTGATTATTCTATCTGTGAGCTTGCTGACTATAGAGGGAGGAGATCTTTAGTATTGTGTCAGGATGAACAAGGGTGTAAGTCATATGTGGTGATGGCATAAGAAACACTGATGCAACCTTTACAAAATCTTATTCTGGTTTGGATGCCACTTGGATGATTGTTATTCCGACATTCTCCCACTTCTTCAAAAGATCTTTAGTAGCAGACATCAACATTGGTCCTCTTTTGTCTTCCTCTTTTTCAAAAGAAAACACATCTTGCTGAGTTTCTTGGTATTCTTCATTTGAGAGTTCTTGGAGTTCTTCTGTCATCAGATCAGTTTCAGAGCTCTAAAATGCACATCTGAGAAATAAAGAGCTCTAAAATGCTCTTTATTTCTCAGATGTGATTTTCATTATTTCATTAGCAGCTTGAGACTTCTTGATATATTATTCATAGCTAAGAATGTGCCTACTATAGACCTGTTCGAGCCATACTGCCTAGCAACATCAGACATCTTATGCCCATTTTCTACCTTGGCTATTATCTCTTACTTGGTTTCTATGGTGAGCGCAGTTCTTGACACTCCTCATTTTAGGCTCCAAATAGTATAGTTTCTTTTTTAAATAAAAAGTTCAGAAAAGCACTTACAAAAATTCAGAGAACAGAAATCAACTAGCCCTCAAAAATTATTTAAATGCAAGGCTCAGATGAAATTCGAAATTTGGTATTACAACATTGACGAATATCCGACGGGAGAGTTAAACTTTCACCCTTCGTAAATAAACCCCAATGCAAAACTTAACGAGTGCCCGACTGACAGTCTTGCAAAGACTATAAAAAATTATTTGTCAAGACAGTAAACAAAAAGCTGAATTACAAGAGTTTCAAAATTTGGAGGAATACTATCTGATCAGTATCGGGTTGATTGTTGATGTTGACGTCTCCCGTGCTCCAAAAGGTTTCAAATTGTTACCTAAAGACAAGGGAAAATCAATTGGTATTCGTTATTTTCTGTCGCCTTTTTTTTTGTGTTTGTTCAGTAAAGTGTTCATTGTCTGATCATAAAAATCTTTTGCAAAAGTGTTCATTAACTGATCACCCACTGTACAGTACATACTAATAACTCTCTATTATGATAAATCATCCTTTCTCCTATAAGTTGTATCATTGTAATGGCCTCCCATGTCTCTCTGCCTCTTTGGAAACCAAATTGTGACTCATCTAGTTCCCAATATATATAGTTTAAGAAATTTTACCTATTTAGAGAGTAAAATCACAGAAAATAACAGGTGTATAAAGGAGATCAAAAAAAGAATAAAACTCATGAAACAAGTTTTCCAAAGCAAAAGAAATCTGCTAATGTCAAAACACCTAAGTATGGAAGCAAAAAAACATTTAATAAGACATTTGTCTGGAGTATTTTACTGTAGAGAACTGAATTCTGAACTCTAAGAAAGCAAGAAATAATCTGTCTGGAGGCAGCAGAAACGTGGATATGGAGGAGAGTAAACAAAACAAACTGGACTAAATGGAAAACAAATGAAACAATTCTGAGGAAAGTGGCAGAATAAAGGAAGTTAATACAGGAAATAGGGAAAAGGAAAATTAAACTTATAGGTCATATTATTAAGAACAATAATTTCCTAAAAACAATCATTGAAGGTGACATTCTTGGAAAGAAAGGAAGAGGAAGACTAAGGAAAAAGCATCTGGAAGAGATCAATGCTTCTATGGGGTTCTGAAATTATTATGAATTTAAAAGGACAAGGCAAAAGCCTTTAGTAATAGATAGATAATTAAGAAAAAGATAAAGGAGGGATAATTTAATAAAATAAAAAATCCAAAGAACTGGATATAGTGCATACTTGCACATCTCATACAAATATACTTTCTGGAAACTCATTACAGGTGGTATTAGTTCAGAGGTCACCACTTTCATTAACATTATCTTAAAGTATTTGTTCAAATTATATAAAAAGCAAAAATTTTCTTTTGTTCCTATATAACTTAAAAAATATTTATACTTTAACATGCACAAAATATGTTTTATATTACATAACAAATTTTGTCTATCATATTCAAAAATATGATGCATATGGCTTTATACAGGGTGCGTGAAAAGTTCTGTCAATTTTATTTTTGTGCATTTTTGGCATTTGTCATTGCATTTTTTGTTATTTTTTATGATTTTATTGGATTGCACGTGCAATTTTGATTAAGAAAGTGCTCTAATCATTTTTTTATTTTTAGTTGTGCTAACGTTATGTCTTGTGAAAATGAATGTATCATCGTCATCGAGTTGCACAAGTTGGGAATGAAGACAGCCAACATTCTTTGCATGACTGGTTTCCAACAGAGGACTGTCTATAGAACTGAGAAATGTTTCAAAAAGACTGAAGGGACTGTGGACCATCCTCAGAGCTGTTCTCCAACCACTGTGACCACTCCGGAGAACATCAACAAGGTGCTATGCCGGATTCGTCGCAATCCGGAGGTGTCCATGAGCAAAACAGCCAAGGAGCTCCAAATCAGTGAGGAGCGAGTCCGTAATACCATCAAGAGGAAGCTGGGACTTCGTAGCTACAAGATTACCCACGCCCACTTCTTAATGAAGCAATGAAAGCAAAGAGGCTCGAGAAATCTCGCCGAATATGTCGGCTGGTCGCTTGAACAAGATGCTCTTCATTGACGAGAAGATTTTCATCCTCAAGCCGCTTCAAAACTGCCAAAACCATCGACAGCTGCTCAAGAAGGGTCAACAGAAGATTGCCACCGCAAAAACCATTGGTTGCAGCCATTTTCCGACCTCAATTATGGCGTGGGCATCTGCACCATTGGGAAGACGCTGCTGGTCTTCATTGAGCAGAATATCAAGATCAATGCTCCCAACTACTAGTAACGGGCCCTACGTGATGTATTGGAGCTGTGGGTGTCTCAGCACTTTGGCCCAGAAGGATTCACGCTTCAGCAAGACTGGGCCCTGGTGCATTTGGCCCAATCAACAATTACCATCTGTGAAGAGCTTTTTCTGGGCTTTTGTGGCTAAGACGTTTGGCTGCCTAACTTGCCAGATCTTAACTCACTGGACTACTTGGTGTGGTCAATCCTGGAGCAAAAAATCTTAGGGCCACCGTGGACAAGCTGAAAGCAGCATTGATGTGTGCCTGGGATGAAATTTCGGTGGAAGAATGTGCAACTGTTGTTGGAACTTTTCGCAAGTGACTATGTAAATGCATTGAAATCCAAGGAGGCAATTTTGAGCATTTGTTGTAAATTTTTTTGCTTATTGTTATTGTTATTCATTAAATAAAACTTATTGTTCATTTAGTTTTGTGAATTTATTTATTTGTACAGTATTAATTAGTAGTTAAAACTCACTGTGTTTAGCATTATTACTCGTTTTTTCGTTCATTCGAGCGCTTTCGACGAATATATATTTCCGTCGTCTTCAGGCGAATAAAATGTTTTAATCGAACATGAACGTTCGATAGAAGAACACATAAATTTAAAATTAAATAATTTTCCATTCGATTCCGCAACGGTTTGAATTATGTGCGATGTTACGAATATGATGTAATACGGCGCATGCATGGTACTGCTTCCTGTCAGTGACGTGACATATGATGTAACTCGCCGTTTAATCGCTTGTATAGGGTGATCCATATATTTGGCAGCTCCAGAGTAGGTGTGTTGCACGTTTCGAATGATGTTATATATAGTGACTCCCATATATAGAGTAGTCTTTGGTCGTTGCATGCCTTGAGTATGGTGGAGTGGGCCCATAATGGGTTATAATTCATGTCGCACACTCTTCTTGCGAGCTCAGTGCTGCACCTTCTTTTTGCTATATCATCTTGGTGTTTGGTCAGGTGAATAGCCAACATTCTTGCTGTGGCCCCAATATATCTCGTGCTATTCCCCGTTACAGGATTTTCTAACGGAACCGCATAAATTCCTGACTTCTCAAGGGTGGAAAGCTTGTCTCGGTCATTGCAGAGCAATCTGCGCAAATTAGGTAACGAAGACAGGGGCAGGAGCAGACCATGTTGTTTAAATATGCGGCAAATGCGTAGAGAAAGTGGACCGAGGTATGGTAAGGCCGGTTGTACGTGCATAACTTCCCTCCTGTTAGTTAGCGTAGAGATTGGAAATAGCGTCTTCTTGACTTTGTTGAGTACATGTGTGTACTTAGCACGTGAGAAACCCGCTGCACATACTGCTAAACTAATAT